CTAAATCAGATTTTTTCTTCTTCTCCTCTCCTAAAATTTCTCAAACTCTCTTCAAGTCCCTCCTATTAAGCTGTCCAGCTCCCTGTATTTATACAGGGCTGGTCCTATACTTTTTAGTGCTTCTTGGACTCCTTTATTCTTTTTAAAAAACAGAAAGTTCCACTACAAACTACTTTTTAATACTTTATATGATCATATCCTGATTTTAAGCAGCCCCATTACCTTTTGTTTCCCATTAGTATCTTAAATTATAGCTATTACATTCCACTTCCAGCACACTAGCACTAACACTGTTTTTTACTGTTTCATTCCTAGAAATGCCCTGAAATCCTATTGTTATTACTGCCCATTAATACAAGATCAAAATCTATTATGAAACAGATTTAAAAATCTGTTCAAACCTAATTATCAACCTGATTTAAAACAGCTAATACCAATTCTCTTAAGTTCCTAACACAGTTGTATCTACCCAACAATTGTGAAATTGAATTTACCTAACATCTCAACAACATCACACAGAATTCAACAGAACAATTCAAACTAAATTTGAAATATGTATGAATGCAGGGGCATTGTCAGTATACTGACACTGCCTGAAACCAACTGCTCAGAAATTAATACTCAAATGTTTGATAAACTTTCTGACTTATTAAACAAGAACCAACTAATTAGCAAGGACTAACTAACTGATTACAACAACATGATAATAGTCAATCAAAACAGGTGAGCAGGTTATTACAATGTATTATCATAAACGGGGATTCATAATGTAACTAATCGACGAACTTAATCGAGTCGATTACACACATTGTAAACAAACATAACCAACAGAAACATTTCACTTTAGGAATCAAGTAGACGGGTAGGGGACAGTATAACAAAATTGACTAGAAAATTATGAAAAATTAAACAGACTAATGAAAACAAATATATAATACACATAGAATACACATGAGAAATAGAAAAAATACCTCTGACCCTTCAAATACATTCCAACTTGGACTCAACTTGGATTCGTATTTTGTTTGAAATCAAACAGACCTTAATCGAAGTATTTTCCACTGAAAATACTTCGACTAAGGTCGATTAAACCTCAATCTTTTAATCAATTTGGACAAAAATCCAGAAGTTTGGTATTTNGACCGTTGGTTGGATTTGATCCAACGGTCCCCGAGAAGCCACGACCACACGTTGTCGTTTTGGCTCGTCTGGTTTGGACCAGACCTGGGCTGCCTAGATTGGGCTGTGGGGGGGTTAAAAATGGTTTGGGCCTGATTTTTTTGTTTATGATTTTGGCCCAGATCCATTTTACCCACTTAATTTCTACTTCTTTTAATTTCCTAATTAAATTCCTAATTAAAATAATAAAAACAAAATTATCATAATAATAATACTAATTATCTTTTAATAACCATTAACACGTAGATAAAACATTAATCATACAATGACACAATTAATATGACGAAAAAATAAAAATGCATATTTTTTGTGATTTTGTTTTGAATCAATTATTAAATACATAATTAAATCCTAGATATGCATGAAACATATTTTTTATTTTATTTTTAATTTTCAATTTATTATGACAAAGTAAACATTTACTGACATAACACAAATATTTAACACCACGCAAATTCAAGAATTACACAGTAAAAAAAATTTATTTTACTTTTTTGATTTATTTTGGAGTAGTTTTTCGTACGGCAAAAATCACGTGCTCACAAACAGATTCAACAGATCAACACTACTAGAAGAACTGATAGAGAAAAACATCCTCCTATATGGATGAAGGATTTTGTCTCCCTGAATGTATATCATGATGTTACCTATCCTATATCTAAGTATATATCTTATGAGAATATTTCACCTAAATATCAAGCTTACATCTCTACTTTCTCTGAAACAACAGAACCTAACTCCTGGCAGAAGCAATTAGAGATCCTAGATGGGTTGATGCAATGAAATTAGAAATTAAAGCTCTGGAAAGCAATCACACATGGGAAGTTGTTTCTTTACCAGAAGGAAAAACACATATATGGTGTAAATGGATATACAAAATCAAGTACAAAGCTACATGGGAGATAGAAAGATTCAAAGCTATGCTTGTAGACAAAGGCTACAGTCAAAGAGAAGGTATAGATTATCAGGAAACTTTCTCTCCTGTTATTAAAATGGTAACAGTAAGGACCGTTCTAGCAATTGCAGCCTCCAGAAAATAGCAAGTACATCAAATGGATGTATACAATGCATTTCTGCATGGTGATCTCCATGATGAGATTTACATGGATCTACCACAAGGATTTAAGAGTCGGGGGAGTATAAATCTGTATGCAGACTCAAAAAATCCTTGTATGGACTTAAGCAATCACCAAGGCAATGGAACTCAAAGTTGACAGAAGCTTTATTGAAGTTCCGTTCAAACAGAGTGCATTTGATCATTCTTTATTTGTGAAGAAAACTGATAGTGGAAATATAGTAGTATTGGTATATGTAGATGATATGCTTCTAGCAGGAGACAATCTAAAACTGATACAAGATACTAAAGAAGCTCTATAACAGACTTTCAAAATGAAGGATCTAGGGGAACTAAAATATTTCCTTGGAATAGAGTTTGCAAGATCAAAGGAAGGGATTCTGATGCATCAGAGAAAGTACTCTTTGGAACTTATATCAGAACTTGGATTAGCAGCATCTAAACCTATCAACACACCTATGGACTCAAACATAAAACTCACAACAAGAGAGTTTGATGAACATTTCTGCAAAGATAATCTAACAGAAGATGAAGTACTAGCAGATCAAAGCAGCTATCAAAGACTCATAGGTAAGCTTTTGTACTTAACTGTTACTAGGCCAGATATATCCTATAGTGTTTAGACACTCATCCAATACATACAACAACCAAAAAAGTCTCACATGGAAGCTGCATTGCAAATTGTGAGATATATCAAAAGTCAACCAGGCCAAGGCATTCTTCTATCTAGAAATAATAATGAAACAGTTACAGCTTATTGTGATGTTGATTGGGCAGCTTGTCCATACACCAGAAAATCAGTCACAGGATATCTAATCAAAATAAGAGAGTCACTGATTTCATGGAAGTCCAAGAAGCAAACTACAATTTTCAGAAGTTCTGCTGAAGCAGAATACAGAAGCCTAGCATCTACTGTTGCTGAATTAACATGGCTACTGGGGTTAATGAAAGAGATTGATGTAAAAGTTGATCAGCCAGTTACTATCTTTTGCGACAACAAAGCTACTATTCAAATAGCAGCCAACCCAGTCTATCATGAAAGAACAAAATATATAGAAATAACTGTCATTTTATAAGAGAAAAGATTTAACAAGGTATGGTCAAAACTGAGTATATTCCTACAAAAGCAACCTGCAGACATGTTTACAAAAGGACTGAACAGAGTACAGCATCAATATCTGAGTTCCAAGCTAGGGACATTTAATGTTTTTATGCCCTTTAGCTTGAGGGGGAGTGTTAAAGAAAATATTACTTAGCTAATAAGGATAGTTTAGTAATTACATCAGCTAGTTAGTTCTTCAGTTAAGATGGTAGTTAGTAAGTTAGTTAATTAGCCTTAATTAGTGTAAGCTAGTTCCAACTATAAATATCACTGTATAAATCATTATTTGAATTAAGCAAAATAAAAAAGATCTAGTTATTCTCTCTATATACTCTCTCTATCGTGCAGCTCTCCTTCTTCTTCCTACTCTCTGCTTTGTCTTCTTCTTCTTCTTTCGGTCACTAAATCAGTGACATTCATCAATCATCTTGTAATCAGAACAGTACTGTTATATTAAATATAATGTTTGTTTTGATTGTTACTTAAATTTTATTGTATCATATCATTAAATTCATCGTTACGTAACAACGAAAAGTGTCACTTTATGGAACGACGAATTTGGTGTGGTGGCGCCGTTTCCTTGCTTTTTTCTCTCATCTTGTCATTCCTTATTATTAAATAGTGATATTTTATACTTTATTCTGCTTTTTTATATAATAACTCTACTTTAGATCCTATTTTTTCTTAGTAATGTTGCAAATTTATTCTTCATATTGTTTATGCGTGATATCATAAAACGATCGAAAGCAATACCATCTATCTAAATAGTGAATTCATCAAACAATACTCTATAATACAGTAATACAATCTGATACATTATGAAATGACATGCAACAACAATCCAAACAAGCTGAGCTCATTTCTGTTTAATATTACATCTAAGAGAAGTTCGATTCTATATTTTTCACTAAAACATATAAGTCTCGCAAAACTAAACTGACTCCTAAGAATTATTGGACCTAAAATAAACCTACTAGCATAACTAAAAAATTGCACGTTATATGGGATCACTATGTGTTTGTCACACATTGTGATATATTTGATTCGCAACTATTCCATAAATTTCACAAGCTAGTGGGCTGGCATTTTCATAGGTAATTAAAAGAAAATAAGAAATCTGGATAACTAAAACCCAAAAGTATCAGATGATTCTGCATATGGCCGTCCACAGCCTCTCTTGCTAATCTAGATTATTTGTTTGATATTAAACCGATCAGAGGCAAAGCTCACGTTGTTAAAACGTGTCTTTTCCAAGAGAAGTAATTTATAAATTAAACACTTAAAAGTTTAAACAACACGTGGCACTATATACTTAAAATCGGGTTAGTGATTCTTTACATATCTTCTTTTGGGTGATTAGACTGCATTATATCAAAATACAAAAACGTAATACTATTTGTTAATTATTTCCTGCTGTGTTATGCAAAAAATATACATCATAAACGTACTTAAGTATCACATGTTAATAAATCTAAAGCTCCACTAATATTCTCACTTAATGGGTATTATTAAAAAATTTACAAGCCGGTGCCAAGTGGATTTAAAATAGAAGCATTATCCTTTTGAAAAGGCATTCTTAATACGGAATCCAAAATCTTAAAAAAGAAACATCATAATACCATGCAGGCACGTTCAGTCAGGAGCAAATAATTTTATTAATTGTAAAAGTATTATTTCAATTACGTGAGGAATCTAAAAGAATAACAATTAATGATTTAATTAGCGTGAGGAATCTAAAAGAATAATAACTAATGATTTTAATTAGCGTGTAGGAATATAAAAGAACAATAAATAATCTCAAACGTGAAAATGTATACTTGTATTTTTGGAGCATATATGTGTATTAATATTATATTCTTATAAGGCAAAACCAACGTCGTGTTAAGCCGGACACAAAAGATACTTGGTGAACTTAACAGCATAGATGTCGACATTCCTAATTTTCTATCCTTTTTTCTTTGAGAAATATCATTAGTCCCACCTACACTCATCCTTTTAGTGCATTAGGAATGCTAATGGGTGTAAATGGAATAATGGCTGGGGCTTCTCATTCTCGTTAATTTCTCCCTCAATTTCAATTTATATTTATGTGACGACGTTTAACCTACCATAATATTTTGTGACTATAACAGAATTTATTGTAAAAACTAAAATTCAAAGTTAAATTATTTTTAGAGGGAGTGTTTGGAGATGCTGCTTTCTTCTGGAGGCCTTGAATTCAAACGAAGAACTAGATCCGTGATCAAAATTTATTTATTCATTCTATGTTTAATTATTGATCAATTATGTGTGTCTCAATTCCTCTTAGATTAGATATGTTTAATTAATAACTAGTTCAAATCCTTCTTTTAGACAAACATTGTGACAAGTTAAAGCCAATTAACTTTGCAGGAAAGAATCAGGTACAGTGAAAGGGAAAAAAAAAAGCTACCATTTAAGGTGTAGCAATTTTATAGTGCCCTATGTTTTAGTTGCTCTTTGCTTCTCCTTTTATCTTTCTTTTGAACTTGTGGAATATTATTGGTCAAGTGGAGAGTGGAGGCTGGGCAAAATCTTTTAAATTTTTTTTTCTTTTTTTTTTTTTAAATTGGTTTAGATCGTATTGTTGTTGTGTCCCATCCGCAAGACTCTACTAGACACTTGGTCATGACTCGTAAAACCTATGAACCTAGAGCTCTGATACCAACTTGTCACGACCCAAAAACCACTAATCGTGGTGGCACCTAACTCGATCTGCTAAGTAAGCCAATTAACAGTCAATACAATCCAAATGAGATTATAGGAAGATGGTGAAAACTATCTGAACATTTACAAATTAACACAAGAACTGATAGTAAGAATCATGAGCTTTTAAGAATTGGAATTTACAAAGCTGATACAAATAATTACACGGTCTATTTGAAAGTTACATTAATAGATTAGCAAAATCTAAAGCTACCAAGGACAAATGGGCAGTTATATCCGAAATGCACGAACATCTTCAGAGTTAGTACCCGACATCATCAGCAGCTCCGCTCCAAAAATCTGCACGCAAGGTGCAGAAGTGTAGTATGAGTACAACCGACCCCATGTACCCAGTAAGTATCTTGTCTAACCTCATCGAAGTAGTGACGAGGCTTTTTAGTTAAAAGATACTCACTGATAAAAACCTGCACCGTAAACCAGTAATAAAACTATACTACGATATAACATAAAGGAATACATGAAACGAATATGCAAAATAATAGCTGAGTGCTAGTAGAGATCATAATTTAGCAACTTCCAATACCTCGACCAATCTTTCCCTTAGGATGAAAACCAATAAACCACGACAATCACTCCATAACTTTCATAGTATGAGGAATGTACTCAGATAACAAGTCAATTACACGGCAGCACCCTTGGTGCTTTTATCTTATCCTCACCCAATATACACATAACAGTACCAACCGGATGACAGGAATACCGATAACAGAAATTACAAAGTAGAAAATACGCAAGTAGCAATAATGAACGAGGAGATACGTGTGGGTAACAGTAATGGACTAGGCAGAAGGCATATGAGTAATGACAGCAATTGGAAGACACAGAATATCAACTTTAACTAACTAGCATGGTGGAGGCCTAGATATAGGCATGACAAATAAGAAGGGAACATGTTATCTTTACAAGTTAACAAGTAGAGGCATGAATGACTAGTATGGTAGAGGGCTTGTATTAAAGTGCAATAGAATAGATACGACATGAGTGTAATTACAACAGCAGGAAATAGGCATGGTATTTGCAAGTTAAGCAAGTAGAAGGTATGAGCAACGCAACAACAATTGAGATAGAGATCAAAAACAAGACAATAACAACAAGTCATATCAGATCTATAAGTATGACAATAACAGCTCGAGGTAAAGGCATGAACGTATACACGTGGAATAGATATCATAACATAATGCATGTCCTCATCCTTGCCTGCATGGAAATACCCATCGTGCCATGAACTCACGGTAATATAAAAGCATGACAATATAAATGAAATGGCATGGCATCACCCTTCGTGCTTTACACTCACATAACATGGCACAACATCACCTTCGTGCTTTACACTCTCATAACATGGCACGGCATCACCCTTCGTGCTTTACACTCTCATAATATGGCACGACATTACCCTTCGTGCTTTACAATCTCAGAACATGGAACGACATTACCCTTCGTGCTTTTACTCTCAAATGATATGGCACGGCATCACCCTTCGTTCTTTACACTCACATAACATGGCACGGCATCACCCTTCGTGCTTTACACTCTTTCTTACCAAACATATGTATATCAATAGGAAACAATATAGGAAGCATAAATAATATCAAGGAGAGTGTTTAAATGAATATTCCAAACGAATCCCAATCACAATTTTTCAAGCCAACAATACTTTAATAAACCCTCAAGAACCGTATTATTCAAGTGTTTCAACAAATCTCACGAATGATCAACAACACAAATATAAAATCTTGTATCTCAAGAATATTGGTCGTAGCAATATATTAATGATTACACATAGTGATGACCGAATTAGACACATCAATATATTCTCGGAATTCCATCAAATTTGATCAAGTTATAATGAGCTAAGTCTTAGTTTCTAACATTTAATGCTATGTTCTTAGTATCTAGGAGTCAGGTAAGGCATGAAGCAAGAATGTCACGTAATTTTACAAGACATAATCTATAATATAATTTATCCCCGAGCATGGTTAACCCTTGTACATGCATATATGTTCGTCACCTCATATATGTATCACCCCCCCCCCCCCNTCTACAAGACACAATTTATAACATATTTTACCCCCGGGCATGGTTACCATGGCACATGCATATATGCACGTCACCTCATATATGTATCACCCTCGCATGTAGCAAACAATATCAAATAGTAGAAAAAATTTCCTCAACAAAGTTAGGCAAGACACTTACCTCAATTCGGCTAACTCAATACTCAATTTA